GAAACAGAAATTGCAGTATGACAAACCCTCTAAGACACTATCTGTGCTCCACCCAGGTGATTCTCTACGGGTACTAAATCCCCACAGCCATCACTGGGTCCCTGGAGTGGTGAAAACCAGTGAACATAATCGCTCCTATGTTGTGGCGACAAATGAAAGCAGATTCAAGCGGAATCGACGCCAGTTGCGCCCTACAAGAGAAAGCTTTGGCAGCGGCCAGGCAGATATCGCATCAGAGCATGCACCAGTGCTCCCATCGCCTGATCCTCTGCCTACTGAAAGTTTCAGCAGCGGCCAGGCAGATATCGCATCAGAGCATGCACCAGTGCTCCCATTGCCTGATCCTCTTTGCTTGCTGAGAGCATGTCGCAGGAACGCACTTCACCTCCCAGGGGCGTGTACTGGATTTGTACCAGGGGGGGTCTAACCGTAACCCAAACTTGCGAGCACGCGAAGGGGGGGTCTGGGGGGCCCTCCCCAAAATTTATTTGAAATTAGACCCCCTTAGATGCGTTTTCTGCTACCCCGATTCGTCGATCAGCCAGAAAAGTGAAGCCACCTGAAAGATTAGACTTATGAACATTTTCTGTAGAGCCATATCATTGTTTTTACACAGTACTGTATTCGTGAAAGTTGAGTTATGTTATATGTCACGATAGATGGCAGCACTGGTCCGACAGTGATGCACGTGTGGTTCTGCTGAGTAAACGTACTTGGCACATACTCTACGAGTTCTTTATCTAATTGCGTATCCGTAGTACGAAACTACGACAGCTTCGAACTGTTATAGTTGAAAACTTAACGACTTTTTGAGCGATCGACATATCTACTAGTAGCAGTAGTACTAGAATTTGTATTGAGAGTCATCGCCGTCTCGGTGTAAGTAGTCCGCTTCGTGGACGGGTATCGTTTCACTCACAAAAAGGCGCGAACGTCCAGAAAAATTAAGCAATCCCCCCTGCTAGGTTTTGATCTAACGACGGCATTTCATGGGCTCTTCTGCAATGCTTTCAATCTAAAGTGTACCCCTATGAAATAAAGAAAACTAATATGAATTTTTAAAGCCCGCAAGTATTATTTCTTATTGATGCAGCGCTTCGTTGCGAAAGCGATGAACAAGGCACCAGCGTGGCGATAAAAATTGTGGTTAAACATCCGCACTGCTCTTTGACAACGTCTCCGGTAGCCATGGTCAACAGCAACGCGGATGTTTGATTCTACTATGTATCATATGTAATAATTCCAGATTTAAACATCTAATTCGTTAAGGAATTATAATATATAATATATAGATCATTATCCATCTACACTTTGACTGTCGTAGAACTGGTTTGTTCGGTCAGCCAGTCGTGCAATATGCCAGACAATAGTAATTAAGCCTCTCAATATTTGCTATTTAGACCTACTATGCTGCGAAAACCTTTGTCTGATGTTTCCTTGAAACGAGGGCGTAATACTGAACATTCCTGCGAATCAACCCTGGCGGTCGTATAAGCATGCACAGATAGACGTCTGCCTGCTCTATCTGTCCCATCCGTACGGAGCGACAGGCAGACGTCTATATGTGCTAATTCGCGTATACAACCGCCAGGGTTGATTCGCAGGAATGTTGCACCGCATAGTGCACCGCATCCCTTTATAAGGTATCGTGCCAATTTTGTGCGCAAAGACTGGCCGTCTATGCACGATCTATTACGAGTTTACGAGTTTACGAGTTTACGAGTTTACGATCAATTACGAGTTTATTGAAACGAGATCCGGTTACGCGGAGTTAGTCGGCTATGATCTAGGTTCACGCGCACGTTTCACCGCTGACGTGGCACACGTGTTTGCCACCCGGGCATCGTACTTAACATTGAACGCGATTCCTCGCTTATGCACTGTAGACTCCTAGAGCATTTTCATGACGATAAATTATAGCGACTTTTCACATTCGTACCCAATAAAATATCAAATAGTCGCGTGACGTTATTGATAGCCGGGTAATAAACGCTTGGACTGGCCCGTTGCGTTAATTCCACCGGACTTTTGCTTATTCGCATTGAAAAAGCGCGCAAAAATGTCTAGATAACACACAACGTCAGTATATCAATAATTGCTGAATTAATTGCAGGAGGCGGGCCAGTAAACCTTGGACACGCGTTAAGTCATGACCCTTTCTCTATTACATCGGAAAACCGCAAAAATGTTTATTCTCTATAATGAATATATATATATATGGAATGAAGCAAAAATGCGCACTATCATGAAGTATGTTTACATAATTATATAACGACGATTAGCTCACATACAAAATGGCGATTAAGCAGAACTCGACTAATTAGCAATTACCAAGAAAAAACAGCACACACTCGGTCGTCGTGTCGTCACGTGAGTCTGTAGGTCTATTTCCGTAGCGGGTACAACATCACAGGTATATGTATACGAGTTATCACGTAGGTCATGAGAAAGTAGTCTCGCGCCGCGGCGCCGAAACATCCTTGACGTCACCTCAATCCTTCGAGCCCTCCAGGCCTTCACGCATTTCGCATTAGTGCTATATTTATACTAACATCCGCTCACGCATGCAGGCAGCAACAGGTTCGGCCGTCACTGTCACAGCCTGTGCGTGCTACGCACCTGATTGCCTCGGGCAATGCGCCCACATCACCTCACGTGAGACGAATAAAAGCCGTGTATATATATATCTCTTTAGTGACACGGTCGACGGCTATTTCTCTGTTAATCGTCTATAGATATATAAACAGCGAACGCACGTATCAGAGTCCTGCACATTGCACCTCTAGTGTGGCAGCTCAAAATAATAAACAGCCCGTTAAAATTTTGATTTGCGTTGGTGTGCTGATTGTAAATTTATCCGCAAAACCGTAGAGCAAAGAAAGTTGTGTTGTTTTACCGACGTTCACGTGTGTTACATGACCGTACATCCGGCCGGTGCTGTTGCGCAGTAACATGGCGATTTGGTGAGTAATTTTTACTTTTATGTTTTTACTTTTAGTGTTTGAGTTTTATACTTTAATCTATATAGTAAACCCTCAACTTTCGTATAGTTATTGGTCATTGTTTATGTAGAATCCTCTATGTAGCGATTTTTTTTAGTTATGATAACCATAGCTCCCAGCGCTGCATACTGTCGTAGGACGTTCCCGCGGTCGCGTGCGCCTTGCCGCGGAACTGCGCGCAAGATCTGCGCTCAGCTCTTCGGATCAACACCTTTCGGCAACGCTTCTCTAGTATCCCGTCTCATCTGGATCACGCATCTTAATTGCTGGCATAATCGTATGAGATATAGTGTTATCTCTCAGCAACGCGGCTCTTATGAGCAGATATATAGCGCACACGTACACGCACGCGTGTCCAACAGCAATGTCACGCGTGGACGTGTACGTCGACACACAGAGGTGTACAGACACGCGCATATGTGCATGCACACGTAGACGCGCACGCACACACACGTCCTCATCAAATGTTTAATAATTCCGCATCAATCCGTATTCGCAGGAATCTTCTGCAATTCACGCTGTTAGTCAGCGCTGTGGGAGTTGTTCTAGCGCAGACAGGCAACAATGGTTTTTTTCAACGACTGATTAAACAATCTGCGAATACCGTAAACGCCAATAAAGACAGGGCAAGGGCAGAAGCACGAACCCAGGCGTTCTCTACTACCACTGGTAAGGAAGTAATCGCGGTGGCACAAGTGTTCTTTTCTATACTATTTGTAATTTGACATAAGAACCACATGAGAAGGCGTGTATGCCTACATGTAAGGGACGTGTACATATCACAGGTTAGGTATAGCTCTTAGATGGTGATATTTGTATATGTCTCTTATTGTCGATTTCAGTTTGAATTTAGATTAGATTGCAGCTTACATTCGGGTCGTTTGGATCCCGGCTGTTACAGAGTTGACCATACTGACATTAGTACAATATACTTTATTCATATAAACTGCTGAATTGAAACTAATATCGGAACCGTTTCTACCACATATATTATAGGAGCGGTCACAGACAACTTTCAGACGAAATTTTCTCGCTCAAACGAGCTGTCACGAACCAGAAGTATTCTTGGTGAAATCAGCGAGCGCTCTGCTCGGATGATATCAGAGAGGTAAGTATGTGAGTTTCGGGCAAATAGTCCAGTCATTTCATGAAAACCACCACGTCGCTGCATGCTTTTACTCGATCATGCTACGTGTTGCGTGTACGCTACAAGTGATTTCTTTTCTTTTCCAGTTTGTCCATAAGTCCTCGCAATGCCTTTAATGAGTTGCCGAACGTCGATATCGGTGGATCAATTCTGGACATTGAATGTCCATATACGGTGCCTTTGGATTGCACCAGATTCTACGGGTATCGAACTTTCGATGGTACTTGCAACAACGAGCAACAACCTTACCTTGGCTCGGCAGTCCGGCCGTTCAAGCGCTTGTTACCACCGCACTACGGAGATGGTTAGTGTATACTAATATCATTCTAATAAATATAATATATCTATCTATATATCTATCAATCTATATAATTCGTCTATTAGAATAATATAATATAGCACACACGCGCGCACATGTGTGCAGAGAAACGCGCACATACACTCACGCCACGTGCACACGCTAATGCACAGCCCCAGCTAACACAAAAACGTTCACATAACGTTATTTTAAGGTTATGTTTTGGTTTGGATAACGTTTATACACCAACGTTATAATTACGAAATTGTGTCGGGTTTTTATAACGTTTTTATAACGTTAAAAATAACGTTTCCTTAACGTACTAAAAACCTGAAAATAACGTTATTGTGCGTGGTTCTGATAACGTTAAAAAAAACCGACACAATTACGTTAATATAACGTTTGTATTTACGTTACTATTACGTTTTTTTTACTTAAATATAACGTTATTGAACGTGGTTCTGATAACGTTAAAAAACTCCGACACAATTACGTTAATATAACGTTTGTATTTACGTTACTATTACGTTATATTACGTTATATATATATATATATATATATATATATATATATTAATGGAAAACAAACATACTAACAAAATCAGTGTTTACGCGAGCTGAGCATATCTACACGTAGTGGAATTGGTTTTACGACATATAGAAACTGCTGCACATACAGTATGCAATCAAGCCACATTTTCTAAAAGTAAAATACGTTTAATCCAGTTTAAAAATATAACTTACAATATAAACGACATGATTTACAACTATATATATATATATTATTTTCAATATCAACATCAAAACATCAAAGTTGTAAAATTTATAATGAAATATTCGGCTATCCTAATCTGCAGATATTTGCACACATAACTACAATACAGTGTTAATTTCTGAATACAAACATTCCAGATAAACATTATTATATAATACTATACACATATACATTGAAATCACGAACCTTCCTATATAATATTTTCAGAAATGAATAAAAGCATAATTACAATCAAGAGCTAATAATACCTATATAACTAGGAGCTGAGCTATAATAAGGTATTATTAGCTCTTGTTACTATACATAGTGATAATTCCTGAATAAGCATTCTAGGTAAACATTATTATATATACATAGATAGATAGATAGATAGACAGATAGATTAACACAAACACATCTATTGTATCAATTTCTCGGTGTGTGTATATATACATAAACTTCTTGATTTTATTCTCTCCTCGCATTATGCGCTCCTCTACTCTTTCTCTATGTGTATCTCTCTGTGTGCGTGTGTGTCTCTCTCGCACCTCTCCCACATCTCCTCATCACTGGTGCTTCGGTGATGGAGATGGCTTGGTATCCATGTGATGCAACTCTAATCTGTTTCACAGAAATTAAAAACGTGCCAAATGTACGTACGCATGTATATCATACATAAAATCTCTCTCTCTCTCTCTCTCTCTTATATATATATATTATATATATAATATATATATATATATATATATATATATATATATATATAATATCATCTGTTAATCATAGTCATAAAGATTTCTGCATAATATTCTGGCGAGCTGTGAAATATAGAACTAACAGGACAAGGACAGTTATTAGCAGCTATAGGCAGTATAGGTTATTTAATTACCTTCATTGCTTCACTAAGTTGTAACACTATATCATACCTCACTCCACTGCTTTCTAGTTCAGCAGTCAGCTTCTCAGCTGGAGGCATGAGAGTTCAGCAAGTTTCCCATTGCGAAGCAACTCCAGTCTGTTCCAAAAGAGACGAGGCCAGCCAGTATGATACATAATCATGTAGGCCACTCGAATGCTGGCTGTAGTGACTCGTCACGCACATACACGTCGCACGCACGCACGGCACGCACGGCCCGCACGCGCGCGCAATCACACACACACACCAACACACCACACACACACACACAGCACACACACAGGGCGCGCGCGCGCGTACTGCAGTACAGTGGCCTAGCTCTTAGAACTTATAGCCCTTCCGCAGTCGCAGCGACTGTGGCGGAGCAAAGGGCTATAGTTCTAGAGCCATACAGTGCCTATACAATCAACTGAAATGCAGCCTGTTCGGACGCAATTTACTTCTAGCTATAATTCATGAACATAACCAATATGATAACACATACGCTAACCAGAGAATATCGTATAATAACTATTATGGGGAGTAATACAACATATATATTTAGTACCTTGGTCCATGCAGTATACTTGTGTTATGGTGGCCGAGGGCTGCCACTACAATTTTAGCCTGCTGAAATAAATAAAAGCAAGAAAAAAAAAAACTCTAAATCAAATTCAAAACGAAATGCAAAATCAAAATCAACAATCAAAATCAAAATCAAAATCAAAATCAAAATATCAAATTCAAAATCCAAACGAATCAAAATCGAAATCAAAAATCAAAACTCAAAATCAAAAATCCAAAATCAAAATCAAATCGAAATCAAAACGAAATCAAAATCAAAAATGGCAAAATCAAAAATAAAATCCAAATCAAAATCAAACAACAAAATCATAATTAGCAAAAACAACAAATCAAATTGAATCAAAATACAAAATCAAAATCAAAATCAAATCGAAATGCAAAACGAATCAAAAAATCAAATAATCAAATTCAAAATCAAAAATCAAAAATTCAAAAACGAAATCAAAATCAAAAGTAAAGTGAAATGAGTTTAACGGCGTTGGCCGAGAGCTGGCAAAGTTGAAAATTTTCAGTTTATTCGGCCAATTAAGGCTGTACCCGTTCGGCCTGGACCCCTTCACTCGCGGCGATATATGGCCTTCGCTACACTGAAGTTAGTGCGGGCCGTATTGAAAGTGCCTATACGCACGGCGGCGCCGTGTGATAAGATTCAATGTGGCTATCGCAACGGCGGCCGTATGGGCCGACTCAATATGGCTAGGAATAGGAAGAGTAGAAGGGCAGAAGCTGAGGAGAGGAAGAAGGGGAGAAGGGAGAAGGTGGTGGAGAAGGAGGAATGAGAAGCTGGTGAGAAGGAGGAATGGGAGAAGAAGAAGGTGGTGGAGAAGGAGGAGGGGAAAGGGAGATGGTGTTGGAGAAGGAGGAGGGGAGAAGGCTGGTGAGAAGGAGGAGGGGGAGAAGAGAGAATGAGGTGGAGAAGGAAGGGGAGAAGCTGTGGAGGAGGTAAGGGGGAGAAGGGAGAATGTGATGGAGGAGGGGCAGAAGCTGGTAGAGAAGGAGGAGGTGGAAAAGCTGGTGGAGAAGGGGAGGAAAGGGAGAAGGAGGGAAGAGAAGGGAGCTGGTGGAGGAGGAGGGGAAGAAGGGAGAAGCTGTGGAGAAGGAGGAAGGGGGAGAAGCTGGTGGAGAGGAGGAGGGGAGAGGCTGGTGGAAGAAGGAGGGAGAAGCTGGTGGAGAAGGAGAAGGGGAGAAGGAGGGAGAGAAGGGAGAAGGTGTGGAGGAGGGGAAAAAGCTGGTGGAGAAGAGGAAGGGGAGAAGGAAGAAGGTTGGTGGAGGAGGGGAAAAAGCTGGTGGGAAGGAAAGGAAGGGGAAGAAGGAAGATAGGTGTAGAGAAGGAGGAGGGGACGTAGCTGGTGTAGAAGGAAGAGGGGAGAAGCTGGTGGAGAAGAGGAAGGGGAGAAGGAGGGGGAAATGGGAGCTGGTGGAGGAGGAGGGGAGAAGGGAGAAAGGCTGGTGGTAGGAGAAGGGCGAATGGGAAAGGAAGAAAAAAGGGGGGAGGGGGAGAAGGACTGGTAGAGACTGAGGAGAGGGAGAAGGGAGGAAGCTGGTGAGAGAAGAGAGAAGCTGTGGGGAGAAGGAGGAAGCTACGACAAGGCTTCTCCCGCTCCTCCCTTCCTCGCACCATAACGGCTTCTGCCGTTCTCCCCCCCCTCCACCCAGCTCCTTCTCGCCCTCCTTCTCTCCCTCCTCCTTGGCTCCACAGCTTCTGTCCCTGCCTGCCTGCCACACAGCTTCTCGCGCATCCTCCTTCTGCCACCCGCCTTCTCCTGCTTCTGCCGCCTTCCTCCTTCTCCACGGCAGCTTCTGCCCCTGCCTTCCTTCTCCACCACGCGTTCTCGCCCCTCCTCACTCTCGCACCAGCTTCTCCGCATTCTCCCCCTGCCTGCCCCACGCAGCTCCTTCTCTCCTCCTTCTCCCTTTGCCTCCTCTGCCACAGCTTCTCCCCTCCCTCCTTCTGCAGCAGTTTCTGCCCCGCTCCTCCTCACGCAGCTTCTCGCTTGCTCCACCCTCCTCCACAGCTTCTCCGCTCCTTCTCCACCAGCTTCTGCTGCTTCTCCCCCTCCTCCTTCTCCACGCAAGCGGTTGCTCCCCTCCGTCCTTCTCGCAACACCTGCTCGGCCTTCTCGCCCTGCCTCCTTCATCCACCAGCCTTCTCGGGCCCTCGCTCCTTCTGCCACCACCTTCTTCCTTTCTCCGCCCTTCGCTCCTTCTGCGCTCCAGGCTTCTCCCTTTGCCCCTTCCTGCATTCGCTAGCCATATTGGAGTGCGGCTATTACGGCGCCGTGGCGTATAGCCATATGGAATCTTATCACCCGGCCGGCCCGCCCGTGCGTATAGTCACTTCGCATACGGGCCCCGCAGCTAACTTCAGTGTAAGCGAAGGATATATGCCGGAGTGAAGGGTGGGGCGAAGCGGGTACGCAGTCTATATGGCCAGCTCTCGGCCAACGCGAGAAAAACATGATTTCAGGCTCTGGAGCTCGCCGGCCAGCGCGTAAACTCATTTCACTTTAGCTTTTGATTTTGATCTTTGATTTTGATTTTGATTTTTGATTTTGATTTCGTTTTATTTTATTTTGACTTTTATTTTTATTTTTATTTTTATTTTATTATCGTTTTATTTTTATTTTTATTTTTATTTTTATTTCGATTTTGATTTCGTTTTGATTTTTAATTTGATTTTATTTTTATTTTTGATATTGATTTTTATTTTTATTTTTATTTTTATTTTTATTCGATTTGATTTCGTTTTGATTTTGAATTTGATTTTGATTTTGATTTTGATTTTTGATTTTTGATTTTGAATTTTGATTTCGATTTTGATTTCGTTTTGATTTTGAATTTGATTTTGATTTTGATTTTGATTTTGATTTTGATTTTGATTTCGATTTTGATTTCGTTTTGAGATTTGATTTTGATTTTGATTTTTTTTTTGTGGGTTTATTTATTTCAGAGGTAAACCACTTGTAGTGGCATGCTCGGCCACCATAGGCTTGTGGCCTCGACAACTGCGGCTTGTCCGCAATTCGAAACTTTCTTGACTGTTTATATTCGCCACTTGTCGGCGTCCGTTATTGATAGTTCGAGCGCTATGCCAGACTGGCTCCTGCCGCGTTTTAGGCTGTAGGCGTTTATCAGAAGCACGCCGCTAATAGGACGCGACCCCAGGTTTCAGACTAGGTACATCAGCGCGAAGGCATAATGGTTATCGCGAACCGTACGTGCAGGGCGGGTCGAGTTGTGTGATGTGTGTATGCTGTTGTTTCAATATGAGCTGTGGTTGCACTATCCGGCACCGCGCTTTGGTGTAGATCCAAGCATATACATAGTTGGCGGCGCAGGCAGCGGCGTGTGTGTTGTGTGTATGTGTGCGTGCGTGCGTGCGTGGCGTCGCGTGCGTGCGCGCGGTGTGTGTTTTGGTATGTGCGTTGTGTGTCCGTGTGCCCCGGACCATCGTCCCGCCCGATCCCCCAGTGGTGTGTGCTGGGTATATGGGTGTGCGCCGTGTGGGTATGTTCGTCGCGTGGTGCAACGCATGTACATCGCGTGCGTGTGTGCGTGCATGGCTACGCTATGTGTGCGCGCACCCGCTCCCCCTGCGTGATATGAATAAATTTAGTTATGGCTAATCCGTTTGTCAGGAACGCTCAAACATAGGCTTGTGAATGCAAAACCAGTAAATAAACGCTTGCGGTTTTCAAACCGTTTTAGGAACGTCATTTCCAACCCCCAACCTTATTGTAAATGTTACGCTATGGGTTATAACAAGTTTTTTCAACCCGTTTGTTAGGAACCCGGACAGTAACGTTACGAATCAACGTTTACTAAAGCCGTTAACAAAACGATTTTCAAGATAGCTTAAATATAACCTTATTTAAACGTTTACTAACGCGTAAATAGAACGTAGGCAAAAGTTTTTAAAAAATAACCCTCAATATACACTTTACTAGAAACCGTTTTACGAACTTTGGCAAAACGTTTCATTCATACCAAACTATAAAACAACCATTCAAAAACGTTGCGAAAACGTTATGTTTTAGCTGGGGCAGGATGCAGGGTACATCCTTAAACCCCCTGATGCTCGCTTTAAAGCCAGGACATACATGGAAAATTATTAAATATACTTTTAAATATATTTAAATACTTTGACTTTAATATACTTATCTTTACTTTTTTGGCACGAAATGACGTAAAATTGTGTAGATTTCCAGGAAAGGCATGTTACTGTAACTTTCTATCGCATGCCCTTTTTAGAGCAGCCACAGACAGACTTGGTGCGTGTAGACACATGCATTAATTGCTACTTCTCTATAGGTATTAGTACGCTTAGAGATCGCCCTCCTCAAAGCCCTTTACCGAGTGCAAGAGATGTCAGCTTAAATGTTCACGAGACCAAGAGAGAGCTCAACTTCAAAATAACACAGGCTGTAAATGCAATGGCGCAAATCGTTGATCACGACCTTTACATTGACGCCAATAGCAACAGGTATGAAGGAAGTTGACGTTGAGGTATATGTGACGAGATGAGGCGGAGATAGTGGAGAGATGGAGAGAGAGAGATATGAGAATAGAGAGATGGAAGGAGGTATAAATAGGGAGAGGTCTGAGAAAGAGATGGGAAGAAACATAGGGGCTGGGAGAAAAAAACGAAGTGGGCAATCCAATGAGACATACAGAGCAAAAGAGTGAGAACGGGAAGAAGGGAGGAAGGGGCGAGGGAGGGAGGGGGAGGGATAGAGTGTGTGTGTGTGTGTGTGTGTGTGTGTGTGCGTGCGTGCGTGCGTGCGTGCGTGTGCGTGCGTGCGTGCGTGCGTGCGTGCGTGTGTGTGTGTGTCTGTCTGTCGGCGTGTGTGTGTGCGTGTGCGTGTGCGTGTGCGTGTGCGTGTGCGCGTGCGTACGTGTGTGTGTATGTACGTGCATGCGACTATTGCCATTTCCTGTTGCGCTTTTACAGATGTGCTTGGTAATGCGATCTCGTGCTGCCCTGTACGGACCCATGAGCAATGTGAGCCCATTGCTGTAAACAACGACCCTGTATACGGAGACTGTGAGACCTGCATGAATTTTGTGAGATCGGTTATCGCTCCTAGATCAGACTGTAAAATTGGTAAGTTCGCTAAAGTCTCTTAATTGCCAGCTTCATCCTCACTTCCAATTCATTATAGCGCACCTGTTGTCAGGGTTGATCTTTTGTATCCCCTTTGTGGGTTATCTCTTGTAAAGATTAATACCGCATGCTGCTGATTGTTTCATGCGTGTTTACACTTGAAAAGAATACAGATGAATTAAAAGAGATTGAAGAAAAATATTTTTAGAAAAACTAGATAGTTTTCTAAACGTGCCTAAACAGCTCAATTCACAGTTAACCGCATTAACCCCCGTGTTTTATATGGTGTGTATTTTCTGTTTTCATAATTCGATTCAAATTCATGTGATGGGGCGGAATCGAAAATGATTCGATGCATCAATCTTCGATCGCGTGAATGCGAATGATTCGATGCGTGAATCGAATGATTGCGAGATGCATGCATATCGATTCACGCATCGAATCATTCGATTCAGATGGAGCATCGAATCAATTCGATTCACGCAATCCGAACATTTCGGATTCACGGCATCGAATCATTCGATTCACGCATCCGATATCATTGACGATTCAACGCATACGAATCAATTTGCGATTCAACGCAATGCGAATCATTCGTATGGCATGATTCGCTGCGGTGAATCGAATGATTCGATGGCGTGAATCGAATGATTCGATGCGTGAATGCGATGATGGCATCGAATCATTCGATTGCACGCATCGAATCATTCGAATTCAGCGGCATCGAATTCATTGCGATTCACCGGGCATTGAGCCATGCGAAATCATTCGATCACGGCATCGAATCATTCGATTCACGGCATGCGAATCATTCGATGCATGATTCGATGCGTGATCGAAATGATTCGAATGCGCGAATCGAATGATTCGATGCATCATTTCGATTCACGCATCGAATCATTCGATTCACGAGGCATCGAAATCATTCGATTCCACGCATCGAGATCATATCGATTCACGCATCGAAATGCAATTCGATGCATCATTCGAATGGCTGAAATCGAATGATTCGATGCGCGAATTCGAATGATTCGAATGCTCATTCGATTCAGCGCAATCGAATCAATTCGATTCACGCATCGCAATCATTGATCAGCAGGTGCGATCGAATATTCGATTCCCCGCATCGAATCACATTCGATTCACAGCATCGGAATGATGCATCGAATGATTCGATGCGTGAATCGAATGATTCGATGCGTGAATCGAATGATTCGATGCGTTGAATCGAATGATTCGATGCATGAATGCGAATGATTCGATGCGTGAAATCGAATGATTCGATGCATCATTCGATTCACGGCATCGTAATGCATTCGATTCCACGCATCGAATCATTCGATCACGCATCGCCATCAATTTCGATTCACGGCATGAATCATTGCGATTCACGCCATCGAATTGCATTCGATGCACAGCATACGATATGATTGCGATGCATCATTCGAATGTGCGTGAATCGAACCCTGATTCGATGCGCGAATCGAATGGATTCGATGCCTCATTCGATTCACGCATAGCGAACTCATTCGATCGCGCATGCGAATGCATTCGATTCACGCATCGAATGATGCATCGATGATTCGATGCGGAATCGAAATGATTCGATGCGTGCAATCAAATAATAGCGATAATCGAATGTTATATGTGATAATCGAATGTTATATGTGATAATGCGAATGTTATAATGCGATAAAATCAACACATAAAACAAAAATGCAATTATTGAACAAACAACATGCCATAGGTTTTAGGCCCAGGCTTGGGGACAGGACTGGTGACAATATCTGTTTCTGTTTCTCAATAGGCCCACGCGAGCAGTTCAACCAAATCACGGGCCTTCCTTGATGCGTCTATGGTGTACGGGTCAAACGTAAACAGTAGCTGATAATCTAAGATCAGGCCCAAAATGGTGAGTAACCGTAAAATGCGACAGCACAAGGTGTGCATAAATTGTACTGACGAATACCGTACTTTGCAGTCGTTGTATGAATTTTTGGTACAAGCTAAAATATGCCACTACTAAAATTATAACGTTATAAATCATGAAAACAACGGATAATTTCAAACAACCGCTGCCTAACCAAGTGTTCTCCGTACAATGATAATGCACGACACGCGACGGGTCCCGGTAAGGACGACGCAGGCCTACAGCTTTCGCACATGTTTATTTGAATACTATATATTTCGCAAGTTAATATAATGTCTTCAGTAAAATTTCATTGAAAACCTTAATATGGGCAAACAATGCGACATACACGATGTTAAAGAAAATTGTGATGTTAAAATAACCCTGAGATATTCGATGCGATTGTAAATTTTGTATAAGATTGGCGATTAAAAACGATTTTTTTTATAGATTGAGGACTGTAGATTTTCAATGGTAATGTACTTATGATATATATATATATATATATATATATATATATATATTTATAGTGTAGAGAAATCGAATACGAATAATATCCTTTCAGGCATGCTACGAACCACGACTCAGCCTGACCGCAGTCGCAAAAGACCTGTTACCGGTTGACATCAATGACGATTCGTGCGAGGCCGAGAAAGTGCCATGTTTTACTGCTGGTATAAAGTCATTCATTCTTATGATAACTGTTATGCATACATACGTATGTTCGTACGTGCGCACGCAAGCATGCCATGTACGCAGAATCGAACATACTACAATCAATCTGCATAGTAGTTTCTCGTAGGAGTCGAATGAATGATACTATATATTTTACTCCTGATACAATAATTAGTATAATTATTGTACTGGGAAAGCGTTGACGATCTCCGTGTAGTTCTGTAGCGTCGACAGCGTAGAGTAGCAGCGTAGTCGTGTGATAACCAGTAAGTTCTTGTTGAACTAGGACTTTATTAGTAAACTCGAACACATACAAAAGATATACATACGTACGGCAACCTAGTGGGTGAGCCCGTGCTAGGTCGCGTCGTCTCAATCTCTCTACATGCATGGTAGGTAACCCTCCTGGTTAGGTAACCTCCGTAAGCTGGCTGTGACTCTCGTCTAAATCTTATCTCTTGTGGTATTTTGCTTGTCAATTGCTGGCTTATATATATCGGCTTCGAAAGCCGATGGCTAAAACAAACTAGTCTGTCAAAAGCCAGACTTGGCAAAAGCAGGGGCAAGGCGACGGCCCGGTTCGCAGGTGCGTCCTAGTCCTAGCGCAAGGCGGATGCGGGAGGGCGCGCCCGTCCTTGTCGTTTGCGCGGCCGCGTCAACCACTTCTATACATGTAGAGCTCTAAAGGTGTGACGTGCCTAGCGTCACGTCCCGTTCACCGCTTGCCTGCGCATACACATATAATATATATTATATTATAATAGTAATTATTGCAATAGTAACAGGAGGTCGGGTGCGCGTGTGTGTGCGTGTGCGTGCGTGCGCGTGCATGTGCATGTGCATGTGCGTGCGTGCGTGCGTGCGTGTATATGTGTGGCGTGTGTGTATACATACATATATTAGCCTGACCAGGCGTAGGGAGAAGCGCGGTATATATATATATATATTCCCACACATAATAAGCTCACGCATGCACGGTTGCACAAACACACATACATAAACGGACACAGACGCGCACACAAATACACACGCACGCACGCACACACGCGCGCGAGCACACACACACATACACACACACCTAACACACGACACACGAGGCGCGTCACGACCGGAACACAGAAAGAGAGAGAGAGAGAGACGCGCGCACACACACAGAGACACACACACACAGACACACGCACCCCGCATATATTATAACATACGTATATATATTTATATACAGAAATTATTATTTTCTTTACCACTACACTTTTCTCAAACATTCCCATACTCTTTGCTTAAAGCTACGTGTTACTATGACTATAATTACTATACTATAATATACTATAATTACTATAATAACTATACTATATCTATAATACGTAATATTGCAGGGGGGGGGGGGGGGTGGGCTGTAGGCAGGTGACATCCGCGTTAACGAGCAGCCAGGTCTTACGAGTTTCCACACGCTACTGATGCGAGAACATAACCGAATAGCGGCCCACCATCTTAAGCTTCCAGGAACCGCAACTGGGACGACGAGAGAATCTATCAGAAAACCAGAGCAATAGTCGGTGCCATCGTGCAGCACATCACGTACAACGAGTTTCTGCCGCTCGTCTTGGGCAAGGACATGTCGAGATACAATTTGCAATCGTTTTACAACTACGATCCTAGCGTTGATGCGACGATCGCGAACGAGTTCGCAACGGCAGCGTACCGATTCGGACACACTCTTATTCGCTTGACCTGATCAGAGTTTCTAGCAGAGACCAAAGGCACCTCGCCGCTGGAGCTGCACACAAGCTTCTTTGACCCGTCAACGTTGTACGGGAACACGGTCGTATCGGGCCCAGATCCGCTCGTGATCGGACTCACTCGGCAGGTCTCGGAAGCGGCCGACGAAAACTTAGTTGACGCCGTCAGAAACAAACTGTTCGGAGAGAACCTTGACTTGGCGGCTCTGAATATCCAGCGTGGCAGAGATCACGGACTGCCCGGTTACAATAGCTACCGACAGCTGTCGGCTTCGGGTGCAGAGGCTAATCGCATTTCGGAATTCAGCGAGATTCGCGGGAATATC